ACTATCATCATCAGTTCGGTGCTACTATGATGTGCAGTCTACACAGATACTATCATCATCAGTTCGGTGCTACTATAACGTACAGTCTACACAGATACTATCATCATCAGTTCGGTGCTACTATGATGTGCAGTCTACACAGATACTATCATCATCAGTTCAGTGCTACTATAGTGTACAGTCTACACAGATACTGTCATCATCAGTTCAGTGCTACTATAACGTGCAGTCTACACGGATACTATCATCATCAGTTCGATGCTACTATAAAGTACAGTCTACACAGATACTATCATCATCAGTTCGGTGCTACTATAGTGTACAGTCTACACAGATACTGTCATCATCAGTTCGGTGCTACTATAACGTACTACGTTATAGTAGCACCGAACTGATGATGATAGTATCTGTGTAGACTTCTGTGTAGACTGGTAGCACCGAACTGATGATGATAGTATAAGCCTTAGATTAAAATCTTAAAAATTGTAAAAAACCTTTCGAGTTTAAGATTCTAAATATACTTTGAACAGATTTAACCTGAAGACTACCCAAGACTGAAAGAAAAAGTTAAAATGGTTACTCAATATAAAATACGAATACTATCACGACAGTTTGGACCTTATGTCTGAATTATTTATTATTTTCCCACGCACAAAATGCATAAGACTAACAAGCTAATACGTTGTTAATAATGATACAGCGTAGTAAATTGTTCAATACTTAAAAATATTTTTCTTTTAGAAGCAAACTCATGTAATCAAAAATCGATGTGATATTTCAGTCCATAGGCTTGTATACTAGTGTGCTTATATTTAATATATATATACAAGTACCAGAACTAACATGATCAGACATACCAACAGTATAGCAAGAGTTTGAGGTGCCACACATGCCATGTTCATATCTATTCTTTTTTCCTTCTTTGATTCATATTTTTTCAAATATAAATATGTATACCCTATTACAGACTTCCCTCTGATGGCTGTAAGAGAGGGATCTGCTTGTATGTACGTTTTGTGTAAATGTTTATGTAAGTATTCTCTGGGGTATGGGATACTGAATGAAAGTTCAAAGAAACTGACTTTAAAATCAAATAAAATCTGAAAGAGAGTGCATCACTTAATGTAATAACACTATTTCTTATATATAAGAGAACTGATGGTGCTACTATAGTGTGTGTGGTCTACAAAGATACTATCATCATCACCGTTTTAATGATTCACTAAAACATAATTTCTTGTTAAATATCTATCCACGTTCTTGTTCAGCAAATAATAATAATTTAATAAGTTGTGTGTTCCAAAAAGAGTACCTTAAAGTTAGGTTATAATTGTGTTAGTTTTGATTCTTGGAACTTATTTCATTCCGATTATATTTATTCCATAAACATTATGTAACGATATTTTGTACTTTATTAGTTTAAAAGTGTTATTTATAATAAATGGTACCAAATGTAAATAAACAAACAGACTGTACGTTATAAATAATGAAATATTAAAACACGTTGTTTTGTTTTTAGGCCAAGTAAAAACAAAAAGGGTTTAGCATCAAGTTTTCGAAAAATGGAAAAAGGAGATCATTTTTCTTTTAATGACCTCTTAGAAAGAACGTTTGAACCTTTTTTTTTTCGTGATTGTTCTTTATTTTCAAAGGGTCCATGTCAAACAGAACTTTTCTTTGTTTCATTTTTTCATTAAAATGATACAGAACTTACAACAAATAAAGAAAAAGGGCAAAATGAATCAACTGTGTTCATATCATTTTTTTATTCAGAAATCTTCTTTGATTCTTTGTAGGATTGAAAAATGATAATTCATAAAAAAAATAATAAAAAAATAGGGAGCATTGGCTGCAAAAAAAGAAGAAGGCATGGATGCTAAACATGTCTTTTTTTTTATTTAGTTGGCCTTAATTGTATATAAAAATAAACTAGCACTGGAAGAGCTGTTTATCTTATGGGGATAGGCTAAGAACTTATTTTCTCTTAAAAGAAAAAGAAGGGTAAGATGAAATCTTATTACTGTTTAAAAGATTGTCTGGCAAACTGAATACGATAAAGGCCTACTTCTTTGTACAAGCTTCTGTAGACAACGAGAAATTTGGAAACATCGGGAAAAACTCCAGCTAAGATTGTTTTAATCTTTCTAAAAGGAAAATTGACTTGTGGAATGAGTTTTCATTGGCAGTTGTAGAGGTCAGAACCTATATACACTTTAAGGACACAGAGCTGAGCGATTAACTCAACTACCTACGAGTATTGAATAGACCAATTAGTGACATGTAATATAAGTAAAAATCTGTACAAGTCGATTAATGTAATTAATAACTGAGCCTGACAATTAATTGATTTACAAACTCCACTAATTGTCCAGCCCGTTGAATGAAATAAAATGACTTCCTTAAAAATAACAGACATTAAAACAATACCTAGAATTTATCAAGGTTTGTCATTTAAGAACTGTAAAAACAGACTAGAAGAAGACATTAATATTTTCTACTTTCTTACCTGCTTATACATGCCGACATCTTGTCAACTACGTGAGCCAAATAACACCTACAGAGTGGTCAGTTGAAAGATCGTTATTCAAATCTGCACATCAGTGGCCGAACTCACCTAATCTAAAGAAAAAAAATAATTCCCTTATTTTCTTATAACCAAACAATTCTCTCCAAGTTCCAATTACTTTACACCTAACACACAACTGATGTATACCCTATTTGAAATTGGTAAATTTTGGGAAGATTGAAGTGAAATACTCTTTATGGTTGTATAAAATTTCCAACTGCCATGTGGTTAATATCACACTTTTAAGGGTTAAAATGAAGGTTATATCATGCATCCATGGCAGTGGTCTAGAGGGGAACATGCGTGGTAGTGAAAGAACTGGTTTTCTCAGCATCCAATGATTTAATTACATAGCTAATTTTCTGTGACATGTTGTCAAAAATCCTTTTAAAAATCAATGTACATCAAGTTCACACCATTGCCAATAAATACATAAATAACATACTAAATAAAAATACAGGCTAATAAATTACCTAGTCAGGCAAGATGGCTTCTTTATGCTATAATGTTTCACTAAATGGTTATAGTTCTATCACATTTTACCAGTCTTGACATTTTAAAGCTTGAATGTCTTGCATTATATATAGTATGTTTTTGGGATAAATCAATTTATAAAACCAGTGATAGTGTGTTTGTGCTACCTCACCCAAAAAACAAAAATGTA